ACAGTGTTAAAATGTTGAAGCTTGTTCTTGCTAGCCAATACAAATTCTTTCCAAGGATCATTCAAACTAAATACTTCTAATCTAGGCCTATATATATATGCATCAGCACACGTTATACATATGCCTACTATAATAACACATGGTAAGCTATAGTTAGGCCTATTTTGTCTTGGATATTAAGTAGATCCCTGATAAAAGTATATGAGAAATTTCTTGGTGCTTCATTTTGACTATATAATGGTGATGTGATGATGATGAATTTTAATATATAAAAGGGTCAATTCCAGACATCTGAGGTACTATTTCCTCAAATATTCGTGGTTGTGAAATCACGGCTTTGAAGTATGTAAAGTACATACTCAAAAACAATGTTTATAAGTAAGTATAGGTGTAATTTGTGAATGGAGAAATGACCAAAAAACAACTGGGTTAAAATAACTGTTTTTGTCGAAATTGGACGATTATTTTACCCTGCTGTTTTCCGGTTGATTTATGTTCTGCTCCTTAGGATCATAGGGTCGCGTTCGGTGGCACCATAAGTGAATGGAAGCATCACTACAAAACAGCTTGGAAAAAGTTACTCCGTTTTAGTTTTCAGTTCAACATCCAGAGAGTGGGTGTTTACGTGCTGGAGACCACTACGAGTGAACACCTAGACTTGCCACAAGTCTCTTATTTTGTATAATTTTTCTCATTCCACCAACGAGAAAGTTAATTTAGAGACGGAATAAAAAAAAGAAATCGAGTATGGGACGCTAATTAAATTGGGTATGGCCCGCACTAAGTGCAATAAAGAAAGAGTAACCCAAAATTAGGGCCTGGAACCCAGGCTAGTGAATACCATGTTTGTAAAAGTGTGTTTCTGTCTTTAGTATTCAAGTTTTCGCTCTTCGTACGCTGGTCACTTAAATGCACGATAGAGCTACTTGCTCGGCCCCAAGCCAACTGAACGGAGGGAGGAAGCAGCATGGCCATCCCGAGTGCCTGTCAGTTGACCGAGACTCCCTGTGCATCTCCCCTGCAGTCTGTTAATCGCCTAGTCCTGTCAAGTATCACCGCCAAGCAATCATCATATGATGCCGCAAGGCTAAGTACTCAACCTCGCCAAGGCTCGGGCCTTCGCCAAGGCCCGGGCCCAGACTCAGCGGAGGGTTACCGGCGTATTACCGACAAGAAGCCTCGTCGACCCCGGAACCCGTCAGGGAAAGAGTCAGGTGATTATACTTTGGATGTGATTAGAATATATTTAGTTCAATTGCCTGTATGGTATTGGTGTTATTACCTGCAAAAGCAATCAACGAGGATACATTGGCCTATATATTGTATTATTGTACAGCGAAATTGTTTTTTGTTTTTTTTGCCTTGTTTTTGAAACAATTTTTTAGTGATTTTAATGAACATTTAGTATTAAAGTACCTTATATTTCATTTTAAAATAAAGGCTACTAAAATCGTGTTAAAATATGCAAATGATGAATATGAAACAATTGGAAATGTCTAGAGGAGTTTCTATCTAAACTTCAAACCAAATGAGAAACGAGATTTTGAATAATAAAAAATAGAAATCACTTTTTTAAAGCAGCTGTAGGTGCAGAAAATTGGCCAAATTTTCACTTTTAAAAGTTTTAATTTCAGAATCGACAGATTACTGTTTTGTTTTGTTCATCGTTACCAACCTTAAAGATTTGAAATGCATGAGTACACCAGTTTGTTGGGGGAGGGGGAGGGCAGGGTTCAGAGGCAGAGCCCTGAGGATCTGAGCATTTTAAGCTGTTATAAATTGATTTCAAGGAGCGCTTGTTGACAATACCGGGTACATACAATTTGAGCTTCAATGTAGGGCCTACATTATGTTTAATTTGAGCACCCGAATTATGTACACAAACATTACTGATTAATGTTTAGTAGCGCGTCAGTGAATTAAGTATTCACGTAATTAGGCCTACTGTCCAATGACTCAAGTTTAAACTGCATGACCGTTTTTATATTTTTGATAAAAGTAATTTCTTCTAATTTAAATAGATTTTCCCCTGAATTTGAGACAATTCGTTATCACGCATAGACCTGCGCTAAATGCGTGACAAATTTATGATCACGCATTTTGTATGTGAGCCTTGGCCTGAGCCTTGGCGAAGTTGAAAACTTCATGATGATCGCTTGGCCATGATATTTGGCAAGACTAGGCGATGAACAGACTACAGGGGAGTCGGTTATGGAGTCTCATTCAACTGACAGGCACTTTCGGGATGGCTGTGCTAGCTTCAGTGCATCATGGCTAGGGGTCCCACTGCTACCTCTCTCCGTTCAGTTGGCTGGGGCCAAGGTAGTAGCTCTATTGTGCATTTAAGTGACCAGGAACGTATACAGGGGCTCCACCCCCCTTTGTACACAGAGTTAAAATGTTGAAGCTTGTTCTCGCTAGCCAATACAAATTCTTTCCCAGGATCACTCAAAATAAATACTTCTAATCTAGGCCTATGTAAATATGCATCAGTACACGTTATACATATGCCTACTATAATAACACATATGCCTAAGCGTGATTTTTTGAAATCTTTAATCTGTAAGTCCCAGGACAGGTCTTTCAGATACAGAAATTTGATAATCTATGGTTCAGTTTAGTTTTTATCGTTCTGTAAGCTTTATAAAGTTGGCGCTTCATTTTGACTATATAATGGTGATGTGATGATGATGAATTTTAATATATAAAAGTGTCACTTCCAGGCATCTAGAGGTACTATTTCTTCCACTTTTTGCACCTCAGCCCCAACCATGATGGGTCTGAGGTGGTTGTGAAATCACGGCTTTGAAGTATGTAAAGTACACACTCAAAAACAATGTTTATAGGTATAGGTGTAATTTTGCCCTACCTGACGTGGAAATGTACTGAATACTCATTAGTACTTTTAAAAACAATTGCGAAAAAATCGCAAGTTGTTATAGGGTGGGACTCGAACCCACGATCTCCAGATCACTAGCCTAGCATCATATCTCTAGACCACAGCTTGCTCCTCCTGATGGCCAGGGTTGAATTCGAGTCCAAGTAAGCAGCGGGTACTGCAGTGTTGATAGTAATTGTTATTGTCGTGATGGAATAGACAATAACTGGATTTGTGTCAGGAGAAACATGTATAGGTGTAATTATTATTACTGTTATGTATAGGTGTAATTAAATGTTTATAAGCTTTATTTTCTATGGTACATCACACATATTAATAAGATCTCTATGGTTACCCAAAATCGGCTGATAAAAAGATCATGAGAAATTTGTTGGCGCTCCATTTTGAGTATATGTAACCAATGCCGTAGCCAACTATTGGGACAGTTGGACAGTCCTACACAATTTTTCTATTGGGTCCACAAAGAATGGGTCTACATTTACAAAAATAGGTCTAAATTATTCTGTTTTAGCACAAAATGAGTCCTATTTTTGAAAAATGGGTCCAGATTTCTCATATTTTGCGTAATATAGGTCAACTTTTAAGAAAATGGGTACAGATTTTTCATATTTTTGCGTAAAATGGGTCCACTTTACAGAAAATGGGTCCACATTATCTGAATTTATGCGTAAAGTGGGTCCACAATGATATTGTTCCGCATTGTTTGAAAATCCGGGCTACGGCATTGTTTACTGTATAGGCCTAATGGTGATGTGATGATGAATTTTACAAAAAAAAATGTCATTTTCTGGTCATCTAGAGGTACTATTTCTTCAAATATTCGCACCTCAGACCCAACCATGGTGGGTCTAAAGTGGATGTCGACTCACGGAATATCCTCCTACCCCACCTCCACATTTCAAAACAGATTGCACCATTACTGGGTATGAATTAAATTAACTGAATTCCTGGATCACCACTGTTAAGTTTTATATAATTATTGTTAGGCTTACTTTCTACATGAAAATACACTCTTTCACATTAAGAGAGTACTAATATTATTTATGATGCGTTTATTGCAATTTTCACTTTATCATTTCAGAGCGCGCTAATTTCCAGGGGCTTCCCCTGGAACCACTCCCCCACGTTGTCCTACGTACCTCGCATAACGGCTCCCCCTACCCTTTTCAAAATCCTGGCTACGTCCCTGATATATATATATGTAAGTAAATACAGACACTGGTAGAATAATATGACGCATTTGACGTATTCTTAAATATTTTAAGGCACAAATATTTTGTATCTCTCATGGCTTTCTCAACCTAAAATTTGGTTGTATCAATGTACGTATTTACATTTTTTGCTGGAAAACACGTAATGTTCTCTACCTGTCTCTTATACACATCTAGATGTGTATAAGAGACAGGACGTATACAGGGGCTCCACCCCCTTTGTACACAGAGTTAAAATGTTGAAGCTTGTTCTTGCTAGCCAATACAAATTCTTTCCCAGGATCACTCAAAATAAATACTTCTAATCTAGGCCTATGTAAATATGCATCAGCACACGTTATACATATGCCTACTATAATAACATATATGCCTAAGCGTGATTTTTAAAAATATTAAATCTGTAAGTCCCAGGACAGGTCTTTCAGATACAGAAATTTGATATTCTATGGTTCAGTTTAGTTTTTATCGTTCTGATAAGAGACAGGACATATTGTTATTATTATTATTATTATTATTATTATTACTATTACTACAACTAATATTTTTTTTGAAAATAATAACAGCCAACTGACGTCATAGTCCGTAGGTTTATGGCTTAGTATTTAGTAGTATAAAGAACAATCGGAACGCAAATCAACCTCACATCATCAGTGACCAATGATCATTCGGCCTACTAAGGAGTTTGTATTTCAATGGACATAGGCGGATTATACAAGCTTATGAATACATGAAAATGTTCATCTTTCTATCAAATTTTGCAAATATCTGTACAATTCAATTTCATATTTTAACTACTGAACATCTAATTAATAGATAAAAAATACAACCGAAGAAGAAAAGATCGAAAGGTAAAATACAAAGGAGTACACTTCAATTGAATATAATTGAAAATATGGGTATACACAAAAACTTACGTATCTGAAATTGTAATAGCAATAAGCAGCAATAAAGGCCCCGTGAAGTGCAAACATGCCAAAAAACAACATTCTATAAGTAGAACCTTCAGAGCCTTCAGATACTTGTACTGACAGTGTCCACGTTGTCAAAAACATGGGCAACAGCACGCATATTCCTCTTGAAATGCATCTGTGCAAGAAAAACGATTATTAAATTTAAAAAGCAACAACAAAGTCAATAATTGCACCAAGAAAAGTCAGGTAAATTTTCTTTGAATAAATACTAGTTGTTTTGAAATAAATTAAACACGTTTCTGATCTACAACATATCAAATTGTTACAGTTTATGCATTTTTGTTTGTTTGTAACAATTATTTCCGTTATTAAAACTAAATCAATAATAACATTTTTATTTATACGTACAATCTTTTTGAATAAACTGGAATTGTAATTATACACGTTACTTCGTTACCTAACATTGGTATTACAGTATTAGGGAGTTGTTATATAATACTACTTATTAGTAAAACATACAGTATGGTTATAATAGCAATGCTAGTCGTAAAATAATAATTATTATTTCAGTCTAGCATAGCACATTCACTAAGACGCCCTTTATCATGGTCTTTAAAACAAATGCATAGAATAACACAGCAATGGAGAGAATTCTTAATGTTGCAGTATAGTTAAACAGTTCTTACTTTGTTTGTATAATGTAGCTTTCTCTTTGTTTTCCTTTCAGCTTTGTTTTCCAAGTAAGACATACTAGTAGCATAATTATCGATGCCTGAAATTTAGATATTCAAATAAATTATAATTGTGTCAGAAATGTTGTTGTAAAAAAGCAAGATCTGGTAGTAGCCTAAAGGAGGATCCCGGGTAATGTTGGATGGACCATACCGTTGTAATATAAGTATGGTGCAGTGAAGGTGTAGGGTATACAGCATTGAAGAATAGGTGGTCGGTCATCTGTGGAGTTAGGGATTGAAGGTGGAGAACATTATTCGAGAGAATGAAAAAATCAAGTGTGTCGCAAGAGGGCGTATGCCTTACTGGCCAGAGAATTAGATAGTGGACCATCCCGCTGCTGACCACCACTCTCAATACACTATTAGTTATTTAATCATTAGAGATTTCCTAGATGTCTACCACACAAGAATACATAAAATAAAGTTGGAATACTATGCCATCTTCAAGACATCAACTTAACGGTAAAAACAGGGGCGTACAAAATATAAAGAAAAAGAAATGAAGATTGGTAAAATTGCAAATTTCTTGGCAAATTGGGAACAATGGAGGACATTATGCCTCATTAATAATAGAAAGCACCTCTCTCTGGGAGTTTTTAAGGTATTGGATGGCATGAGAGAAGAATAAATCATGACAATGTTTAAAAAGGTGGACATGGTATGGAAACGAGCTTCGTTTGTGAATGACAACACTCCAGCCAAAATTGCATTCCTTGAAGAACAACGGCTATTAGGAATACCTATAACAACTGGATGGTAAACATCAAGAAAGAAACTAGACCGCACGGGGTTTATGCACACAATTGCTCAAAGTCGCACTGAATAGTGAGAACAAGTGCGATGTTAAAAGAACGATTAGCCTTAAAGATGAATTATTATTAATCAAACAATGGCGAAAAATTAACTTACCAACAAAATAAGAAAAGTCGGTGTTGCGAATGCTGCAATTACGCCAACTTCCATGTTTGTCCAACACCTTGAAGGAATCATGAAAAATAAAATGTAAAAATAATAGTTTAAAAATGCAATCTAAAATAGGTTGTTGAGCATGCAGAGTCATTCAGAGAAGAAAAAAAGTCTTTCAGAGTAGAAACAAAAATATCGAAGAGGATGAAAAAAAACATGAAGATAAAGAATACATGGCTTACCCATCCGAATCATCGTATCCACGGTAGGTTCCAAAGAACAAAAGTGCAACGAAAGCGGAGAATCCCCAGCCTATGGCAAGGTGATAGTATATGCAACGTTTACATCTAAGGTTGTGAAGTTTTGTGAATATGTTGAAAACATCTATGAAGATCCACATTACCATGGCTATGTACAAGTACTCCAACACCACGCCGGCTATGATGCATGCCAGCTATAATAAAGATGGGAATTAATCTATTAGGTGTTTTCGTAAGCTTAACGAAAACCATAACGAATACGGCTACGTCATCTAATTTTTAGACACCCCTTCCCCTACAGTAGCATATTTGTCACAACGTAGGCAATTCATTCCTTTTGCATGAATCAAGATTCATATTCAGCTCGTACAGTTTATGCCAAGAATATTTTAGGCAAGAATGATGTTAATCGGGATGGATCCAAAGATGTCAAAAAGTGGGGCCGAAAGTGGGGCCAATCAAGTTAATACTACCCTAGGGAATTCTGGGGCATGCACCCGCAAAATTTTCGTGTTCGAAACGCCTAAGAAATAACCTCTGAGGCGTTTTGGGCGATTATTTTTTTCTTTTTCTTTCTTTCTTTCTTTCTTTCTTTTTTTTATTTTGGACATTCCAAAAGAGGGGGGAGGGGCGGGCCGGCCCACACCTCTTAAATCCACCCCTTATAATGATAATGACGTATTCGTATTCGTCATTTTTTTCGTATAAGGTTGCGAAGTTCCCCTATTCTCATCAATATTACTATCTTTAAACCAATAACTCAATCTTAAATATTGGCTTAATTGAATCAATTCCTTTATCTATTATAAAGTAATACATGAAGTCAATAACAGGCGTATAGGCTATATCTACTCACCGTTATTTCCCCTAGCTCAAGAGTACTCAAATATGAACACGTCATCAAAAACGACACGGCAATTAGATTTTTCATCACAGACGTACGCTCCACGTCGAATGGATTTTGTTGTTTTTGTCTATATTGAATGAAACATTTGAATGGATTTTACATTAATTTACTTAAAAGGGAACTAGCAAAATGATTTTTTTTTCTAAGAGGGGATTTTTGATATGCCAATAATAATAGAATCAACCTTAAAATGGTTTTTTGGCCATTTTTTTTTTATGAAGTTATAGGCCATTATATACGATTTTACCGTGACGTGTAAATAGCATCGCGTAGGGTCCAGCCGCGTACGATATTTGCGTACATGCTGTAACCATGGCTGGATACCCTACGCGGTGCTATTTACACGATCTTTTGTTACTTTTTTCGACAGTGACGTCACGGTAAAATCGTATATAATGTCCTAGGGTTAGATCCGTACATAGGCCTACACCGTAAGTTCTCCATGGTCTAATGATATTCACTTTGATAGCGACGAGCTTGCAGGCTCAAATCCCACCAGAGACACTTTGTTCATACAACTGAAAAAAGAACTAATCGTTGAAGGCTATTCTTGATACGATTATAACAACATGTTCCTATTCAACCACCGTTGTTGTTTCTATTTCTATTGTTTTATTACTTTATATATTATACTCTATACATATGTAGAAAATAGATACGAAGACTTACTTGTGAAACATTATGAACGCAACAGCAATTAAAGAAACTATTGAGAATAGTCCGGTTGAATAAGTCACAACTCGAAGCATGATGGAATACAAGTCAATATCCTGAAAATATGACCAACATTAGGTGTCGGAATAAAGTAAGTGGTATTGCTATTCATTTCAGCATGATTTAAAAAATAGAATTCATAGAAAATAAAATGCTGCTTCTAACTACAGTGCTCCAAGATATAGGAACCCTATTTCACACCTAATTTGCATATCAGTATACAGTACGGTATTATTCTGTCATATTAAAACAGATTACTCATTAGAGTAGATAAAAAAACGTGTGCTCAACTCTTTGTTTCTACTAAAGAAGCAATTTTCACCCTTAAATTATCTGTTTATCTAATTTGCATATAAAAATGGGTGCAAAAAATGGCACAAATTGTATTCGACTCAACATGCTTTTTAAACTATATATTTTAACAAAAATAAAATTATCACGAAATTCCGACGGACTGACACAAGCCTCCGGAATATAAGATAAGTATATTACTTTTACAGTCTTGCTAAAACTTTCCTCAATACAAACCTATAGTAATAATCATTATTATTATTATCATTAGAATAAATGTGTTGCGGCGTATTGGGTGAATTTGTTGAACTGACCCATTTTAAACATCTGATTATTATTACAAGTATTATTAATTATAATGATAAAATAATGTGTTAAGCTACAAGAAAAATGGCATAATAAGAAATTTACTGATATTAAACGTTTGAAAAATCATTTGAGAATATAAAATTACGATAGGCTTACTTACATCTTTTAATTCAGTAGGTAAGAGTATTCCAAATATCGTCGTATGAGTGCAAGAACATTCAACATTTCCTGAAACGTCTGTAGAAACAACCTGGCAACCATCTCTGCTCCATTGCCTATAATAAAAATTGTGAGTGTGTGTGTGCAGTAATTTTGTTAATATTGGCAGCGGTTGCTTATATAAAAATATAACGATTGCGTTTATGTATTGCCTGAGGCGCCTCCTAATGTTTGTATTGTTATAGAATTCTTGTATTCATTAATCCATAGATTGAACCGACTTAAGCAACATTGCTTATTGCTATTCTCCACGCTAGCCTGAGCATTCTGTATATAATTGATGTGTATTAATTAATGTTATCAACATAAAATATTAATATAGTAATTCCACCATAATTTCAGGTTCGATCAATAACGCTATTCAGTGAGGTTCTTACGTTAATAGTTTACATATAACAATATAACATAAGCTTGCTTAGGAGATATTTCGATCGAAAACTTAATAAGATATTTAGAAACGAACTGGTACAAACACATCGATTAGTGTGTTATGGACACAATGCGTGCTATACAAAATAATCTTACTTGAACTCCTCGTTCCAAAACACACATACTGCTTCCCTTATGAGCTCAATCATATCTTCCTAAGAGAGAAATGTAAATGTAACAATTAGGCATATAACATATGTTGGTATACCTGCATCGATGCTAATATTATATTATGCATAATAT